GTCGAACAGAGTTCTCAGAGCAGCAATTCATGAAGTGGGTCAAGTTTGTTGGCAGTCTGAAACACTCTCTGTTCAAGGCTGCAAAGAATAAGCTCTTCCCTTCTTATACAATCACTGTTGCCAAGAACCCATCTGCTGGAGACTTTACCAAAATTCAAGACGCCATTGATTCTCTTCCTTTTATCAATCTTGTGAGGGTGGTCATCAAGGTCAAACCAGGAGTTTACACGTGAGTTTCTTTAAAATTTGTGTCTTTTTGTCCTGGTATGTTTTGGATTTAGTTTGGCAGCCATGAATTCTATTTATTATTCATAGGTATACATGGATATTAGTTGTCACGTTATTTCTTGTTCAGTGTGAAACAGGAAGTTGATTCCTATTTGGTTTGTTTTTTTCTGAAGTGTAGAAAATGAATGTGTTTATGATGATGAAGCAAGGAGTGGCAAAAAGTTACTGTATTGAAAAATGGAGATGGTTTTTGCAGGGAGAAGGTGAATATACCTCCATTAAAATCGTTCATAACCATAGAAGGAGCAGGAGCAGATAAAACAATAATTCAATGGGGAGACACAGCTCAAACTCCAGGAGCAAGAGGCCAACCTATGGGCACCTACAATTCTGCTACTTTTGCTGTCAATTCCCTTTATTTTATAGCCAAAAACATCACATTCAAGGTAAATTATCATACATATTTTCACATGATGAAATTGTCTACATATATTTATATATATATATATATATTAATAGAAAGAAAACAATGGTTGAAACAGAACACAACGCCAGTTCCCGCTCCAGGAGCTGTAGGGAAACAAGCAGTGGCGTTTAGGATATCAGGCGACACAGCAACATTATTGGGTTGTAAATTTTTAGGAGCACAGGACACTCTGTATGATCATCTGGGTAGACACTATTACAAGGATTGTTACATTGAAGGCTCTGTTGATTTCGTCTTTGGCAATGGCCTCTCTCTGTTTGAGGTTAGATACATAATTACATCATTCTCATCGTCATCATCATTTATGTACTACATATATGCATATATAAGGAAAAATTAAGGGTACAAGAAAAACTGTACAGGGATGTCACGTGCATGCAATAGCACAGAATGCAGGGGCACTAACAGCACAAGGAAGAAGCAGCATACTAGAAGACACTGGGTTCTCCTTTGTGAATTGTAAAGTGACAGGTTCAGGAGCTCTGTACTTGGGCAGGGCTTGGGGTCCCTTCTCAAGGGTTGTCTTTGCTTATACTTACATGGACAACATTATTCTGCCCAAGGGCTGGTATAACTGGGGTGACCCCAGCCGTGAAATGTACGTTCTTTTTACTATTTTTCTTTATTCTTTCGTTATTTGGTTGAATTTTAAGTCAAATTATACGTTATCTTATGTTTTCGTTAGAAAATTGTATTATAACTAATACGTAATTACGAAATATATAAATCTCTATTAAAAGAACTGATTAGAAACTTATTAGTTACCAAATTTGTTGTTAGTATTGGATGGTTAAAGTGAAAAGAAGGGTTGTGGGGGTGATTTAATTTTTGTGGTGCATATTTGGGCTATAGTGGAGAGAGGCGGTGCCGTCACCTTTCACTTGCTGCTACTCTAAATGACAGTGGCATTATGTTCTTGTCTCATAGCCTTTTTCCTTATGCATGCTATCATATACAACACCTCTTTCATCTCCACCAAAATGAATCTACCACCCACTTTCTTCTTTTACATTTTTTTCATTTTTAACAAAATTCATATGTTTCATTACTTACATAATGTTTATCCCAATAACATTACAAGATTTAAACTTACATTTTTGTAGAGTAAAATAAAAGTACTAATAATTCAATCAATAAATGATATCTTGGTTTTTTTTTTTGCGGTAGAAAGGGTACTTTTGTCACATGATCAGAAAACTATTAGGCTTCTGGCAAGGTCCAGACTTCCCAAACCCAGGCTTACCTAACCTTGCAACAGGGGAGGCCGCTAAAGTTAATGTATATTATATACATTTGTGTATATGTACGTATATGTCATGGCTGTTTCTCCAACTGCGAAGTCTACGTGTAGTGCACCACAAAAGCCCACCTACTCCTACATTGCATGATTCCCTTTTTTTAAACTCAAACAAAACTTATGGTAAAAGTTTGTGGGTGAGTTTATTAATTATATATAATTAATTGTATAGATGTTATTGTTGTTTTGCAGGACGGTGTTTTATGGGCAATATAAGTGCACAGGACCAGGAGCAAGCTTTGCAGGGAGGGTGTCTTGGTGTAGAGAACTCACTGATGAAGAAGCTAAACCTTTCATTTCTCTTAGCTTCATTGATGGCTCTGAATGGATCAAATTATAATAATAATAATTTAATTTAATGATCTACCTCTACTGTTTTTTCTTTTAAAAAAATTCGCATATATATATATATATACACACACGGTTACTAAAATATTTTTTTATAAATTTATGAATCAAACGAAAATTAAATCATCCTGAATAAGTAAAGAGACCAAAAAAACACATATAAAGATTGTTCAAATAAAAATAATATTTTCTTAAACAAAATATGAGATGTGCCAATCTATTTTTTTCCTCTTAATTATATATAATTAGTTTTCAAAATATCTATCATTATATATAATATAAAATATCATAGATATTACATAGTTAGGTCATGGTGGTATATTTTCAGCCCATAAGATAGATCATAACACATGTTGCAGAAGTCATCATTAGAAAGTTTTGCCCATACTATTTTGGTACATGAATATTTATATGATCATATCCTTTTTTTTTTTTTCTTAGAGAAGAAGCCATCTTTTTTTTTTTTTTTTTTTAAAAAAAAAAGTTTATAACTTAAGAAATTAGATGCCCATTAATGTACACATTCAAGTTATTCAATTTTGTAATCCTAGTACATGAACATGCAGAAATTTAAAATTTAATAATTTCAATTAGTCTTTTATTTAACTTTATGCATAGATATTTATAAATTCTAATAAATACCTTTTATAGATTATATAAAAATCTAGTATTTTCTATTAATAATCTGTATTAGTAAGATATATATATATATATTTTTGTGTATAACAATTAAGTTTTGCTATTGTAATATCAATAGGATAATTATATTTAATACATAATCGGAATGAGAATACACGAATCTTATTTTGTGTTTATATTTTTAAACATTATGGACAGCCCAATATCTAAAAGTCTATATTAAACAAAATTGAACATAGTTAAATAGAATATAAGATAAACAATGTGTTCTATTAATTTTTCATTTAATTAAATTATTATAATAAATCTTCGATTATATTCATCAAAATTAGAAGATACATATTTTTCAAATAATTGGGCAAATTAAAACGATATCTAAATTAACTTTCAAAATGAATGTATATTCGTCCTCGGTTAAGTTGAGTAAAGGATACTCCACTAATAAATGAGGTTCTAATTGCTATGAGTTTGTACTTCCATATATAAGTTTAGGTACTCATCACATTTCGAGATCATATATGATTCTTCTTAATAAAAGGGTTTAATTTATCATCTAATAAAAAATCTTCGTAGCTCTCTTATTTCAACATTTGGACGGATTTCAATGAATTAATTTATCAGTTGAATAAATTGTTGATGTTTATAAATATTTAGTTGCTTTCATCATGATCCGTTTAATATTTTTTTAAAACTTTGAATAATAATAAAAATATAAACACATGATTCATCTTTGTATTATTTTGAAAATATTTAAATAATATTTATAACTTTTTTAAAAAAATCAGTCTTGTACTTTCAAAACCTCTCCAAATCGGACTCTCTTCTTTAAAAGTATTCAACATTGTACGTATTCATGTCACATGGCTACTGATGTAACGACATAATTCAATATTTTGTTTATAAACAAAATATTTATGAGCATAGGTGCAAGTTTACGCGGTGGCATCTACATTAAAGCTAATTAAACATTAAATTCTAATTTTTTAGTTAAATTTTTTAAATATATAATTATTATTTTTATTAGTAAAATAATTTTAATATTTAAAATTTATGTAGTATATCATTTCGTAGTGAACTAAAAATCAAATTGTATTTTTATATTTTAGTTTTTTAAAATAATTAGTTATTAGATACATTATCACATCATTTTTTATTTTTTATTTTAAATTATGAGTAAATGAGATTTGAAATTTTATCTCTATACAATGTATATAATCATAACTAATAAGGAAATTATGTTTCAAAAAATTAAGAAAATGTCATGTGACATTTTTCAATGTATAAGTAATATTTAAATGTTATTATATCTCATATTTATTTAATAAAATTTGTCCTCATTTTCTCTTACTTTCCTCCTTGCCAAACAGTGAACTCTCTTAATTTCTTCCTCACTTGTTTTATGTCTCCACTGTTCTTGGTCCTCTCTTTCTCTTTTGCTGTCCTTGAATTTCTTCACTCAAATTCTTTTTAATCTCTCTTTTTCTTCAGTACTTTTTATTATGTATAAACACATATACATATATCGATATTGAGTTACGTACCCATATGAGCAGTCACGTCATAAATAATAATTACAGAGTGATTTATTTGAACAGATTATTCGTATGGAAGAAACAAAAAGATTAATTGCAAATGGCATTAATTAACTTAATGATTGAACCTTTTCTTTTTGCCAACTCTTACACCCGGTTTGAATTCATTCATTATTAGATTCCTTGAGCCGCATCGTATGGCTGCAAAAGAAGGTGGCCATTCAAATTGCATGTGCATTTGGGCCCATTTTTTATTGGAACTAAGACTAGAGGCCCGTCGAATGATGATGGGCCCCATCCTAAACCCCACGTCAGCTGCCTATATACATGTGTGTGTACATATATATATATATATATATATATAATGCAAGTATATTTTCCGAATTGGGACATGACTCCAATATGGCTTTCAGCCCAACTTGTCAGATTAAAATAAGCGAAAGAGAGACTCGTTGCAGTTTGCAGGAGGGAGACTCTTACATACATAACCCAATTGTGTTGCACGCACTTACCTTCACAAATGACGTCTACATTTTATTTTATGTATATATCTATTAATCATATACACACACAAGACTTTCAATTTGTTTGTTGGCAGAAACCTCTTGGTTTATTTTAAAAGATACTAAATAAACATTGTAGGCTTTGTGAAGTCCAAACTACTTTTATTGAGAGATATCAAGTACCAAGCATAGCATTAGGAGATCCCAAAGCTTTGTACAATCATTAATATGCTCTATCTTTATATACATACATATAATAAACATTAACATAATTCGAGCTCCCCCCGAACAATTAATTTACTATATATAGTTTTGTCAAAAATATATGGTTATTATTAACGTATTGGGGGGATTGAATTTGAAATTCAAATAGTATGTGTGTGTGTGTGTGTATAGAGTAGTATATTTATAAAAATATATGTATGTATAATATAGCATGCAAAATGGGATAGAGGAAATTAGGGCTCTACAAAACAAACACCTGCCTGCCTAATTTGCATCAACACGGACTACGAAATATTCCACTCAGAAACAATAATTATAATAATTATTATTCTGCTTCCCCTTTCAAATTCAAACTGGCTGCTGCAATTTATAATAATAATAATAATTTAGATTCGTATTATATGTGTCAAATCGTAATGATTATTAGTATATGAAATTAGCGTAGCTGGAAATCTCTTTGGGAAAGTGAAACATTTAACATGTGTAATCATATAAGAATCTCCTGAAAGTTCATTTCATTTTTCATTCGCCAAAAGCTATGATTCTACATCTGTCCTTTGGCCCCCCCAACCCAAAACAATCTTCTTTAGCTGTTACAAATTGATTATATAAATTCATATTTAATTAACCTGAAAATGTTGCCACCCAATATATATACAATACATCTTGCTTTATTGAATTTAAATATATTATTTTAGTTGTAGTTTAAAGTTATCTTTGTTTATACGAAAAAAAATAATAAAATTATAAAAAAAACAGTATTATAATTCTATACAAAACTTGATATGAAATTGTAAGATACATCTTATCACTTGCATATTAAATAGTGGCCTACAATTTTTCCAAAATTATCTCAAAGGGCTTGGAAGCATGTCAATGATGACTACACCTATAGTTTCCAATTCATTCAATACTTTGTCGGTGAATCATAAACTGTGTGTACTTATAAATTGATCCACGGGCAAAATTTTATTTTTACAATAAGAAAAATTACTAGGCACACAAGCATAAATCATTACTTGAAAAATATGACGAGGTTTAAAGATGTATCGTGTCATTTTTTTGAGACTATATACATCGATTTAATTGGTTCAAAAATGTTTATTGTGTATACAACAATTAGACATTTAAAACACAAATTCTTAATAATTTAATTATTATGAGTTAATTTAGAAATTTAAATTGATAAACTGATTGTTTGTGAGAGATGTTGTTATCATGCGATCTAATCAAATTGTTAAGGAGTCCGTACGTGTGGTATGAGTTTAAGGACAAATAAAAGAAAATTCCAAATATTAATTTCAAGTGGGGCCCACACGGATTAAATTGAAACTATCAGATGCGATTCTATCCACTAAAACTACCGTGCTCCCGCATCAACTCTCAAATCAAAAAATTGGAGGGAACACGCCATGAGAAAATAATCAGTCTGCCCATTCAACGGCCATCTTTCAATTATTCTCCCATTTGAAATTAACCCATTATATATATATATATATATATATATATATATATAAAACATGTGCACGAATATCGGTGTTTGGTTAATGGTAAATTATCACTTGTTTTATCTTTTTAACTTACGATATTATATAATATGCACACAAATTAATCATGGCGTCATCACAATTTTATCATAAATAATATTTTTCTTGGGTGTTTGTGCACGAGTTGATGTTTAATCAGTTCGAGAGATTTAATTAATTGAACTTTTTAATCTAATTGAGAGTAATAGTCAAGATTAGAGAGTTGTAAAGAAAGTTTAACCTCTTAACCTTCAACTAATTACTTCAGTGACTCGTAAAAAGTTCAAAAAGAAAGAAAAATAGAAAGGAAATCATTAGAAATTTGGTGAAAGTCGTCTTAATTATATACCATCATGACAGGCAGGGAGAGAGAGAGAGAGATTGATACAAGTAACTAAAACTAGGACAAACAAACTATTTACTTTCACAATTGGGTTTGATTAGGGTTTTCTGAGAAATTTAAGATCAAAGAAAGAACAAGGAGTTGAACCAGATGGGGGTTTACTTGTATCCTGTGCTATCTGTTCTATGCTTTGCTGGGTTAGGGATGAAACAAGTAATGGTAGCAATAAAGAAGAAGCAGATGATAAATCAAAATTTCCTCTGTATGGAGTACCTCTCTGGTTCTCTACTAAAATTTGTGGACCTTTCTAGCTTCCCCAAGACTGCATTCTTGAAATTGATAGCTTCTTGAACCTGCGAACACGATCTCTGCATCCTCACCCCACTAAGACTACTCCTCGACTCCATCATTTCGTTTAGCGACAGTCGCTTCTTGGGACCTGGTTCTGGCCTCTGTTTAGGGGCACTGTGCGATCTCAATTTCGCTTTGAATGACTGTGTGTTAGCCATGTAATTTGGATAATTCCCCAAATTATCAGCACAGACGCTCTTTGCGGGTGTGAGCGGGGGATTACACCCACAAGAATTGATAAATCTGGGCGTGCTCTGTGCTGTGGAGAACCTGCATTCGTCTCCGGTTAGGCCCCATTCGGAGTAGGAATAGTCTTGAAAATATCGGGTATCGGGTATGGATAAACGGGCTGGAATTCGAGATGGGAGAGGAGAAGAAATTGTTTGATAATATGGGTCGTCACTGAAATCTGAAACAGAGGTGTTAGTTCTGCGAGATCTTGATTTAGGCCTGCCTGTGTCGACCTCCACGATTTTGGGGGTTTCTTCGTTAGGGTTGAATGCAGAGTCAAGAGATGCAGATAGTCTTCGGCTATGGATAGAGACTGTGTGGTCACTTCTTGTTTCATCAAATCTCTCCTGCAACCCCCCATTTATTACAACAATTCACAAAGTGGCAGACAACAAAACATAGATCCGGAAAACTGGAGACGTAGAATTTATAATAAATGCAGAGAGGATGTTTTTACCGTGGATTTTCGTGCTCGAATTTCAAATCTGTTGGTAGCTTCACTGTTAATGAAGCGACGAGCTCTGTGAGACCTAACACTGGTTTGAGCTCGTATCAGTGCTTGCATACTGTGAAGTGTAGCAGCTGCTTGTTTCCGCACCAAATAGCCCCGGACCAGTGCCTGTAACTTCACCAGTGCTTTTAATGCTCTCAGTGCTTTTCTTGCCTGTTCATCAAATTCAAAATTACCCCACAAATTTCCAGACCAAAAAAAAAAATGATAATAATCTGATTCATCCGCTTACCAAGTAACCTCTGAACACAGTTTGGATCTTGACAGCAGCCCATTTCTCACTTCCTCCGCCAAACATAGTACCTCTGCCATGGCTGGTGAGTCGAACAACGGCGACAGCGGCCTGTGCCGCTGCAACAGCCGCATCAGCCGCTGCTGCAGTTGCGGCGGCTACCGCAATGGCGTGCTTATTCTGTTCCTTGTGTGTATCGTTGTAGTAAGATCTTAGCCAAGCAGCCTCGGCGGCTGACAAGTTGGGTGGTATGGTTGAAGGGTTGTGACACAAGCCGGCGATATCTCCTCCTCTGGCGGACTGGCCAACGATAGTAGAGCGGTTCTTGTCTCGGCGGTCGGTGGTCTTTATCCCAAACAGGCTTTTTAGCCACCTCGTTGCTCTTCCCATCTTCTTTAACTGTACTTGCAGAGTGGAAGAACTACAGAGAATGAAAAGAGAGAGAGAAGAGTAATGGGGGAAAAAGGGCCTTAAAAGTGAAATCTAAAAATACCCATTTGCATTAGAAGGCTTTTTACATTACAGCTCATATACTCTTGTTGTGAAAAGTGGAGATTCAGAGTTTAAAAAGTAAGGAAATCTTCAAATGGAAAAGGAAAAGCAAAATTATAATAATAATAATTAAGAAAGAGAGAGAAGTAACTCTTCATTCCACTTACCATTTCAAATTTTTAAACGGTAATTTATTCTTGAAAAACTGCATTACGTGACAAAAACATGCTATTTTACTAAATGATAATTGCTTGGTAGAATCAGATTCTGAATAGAAAAGTAACTTAAAGTGGGAAAAAGAAAGAAAAGAGTGGCTCATCCAATAAGAAACTGAGAAAAAAAAAAAGAAAAGAAGAAGGGTAAGAGTGAAAAGACGATTACTTTGTGGAGGGACGTGTCCTAAAAAAGAAAGATACCTCAGGGTCCTCTGCATCTGACACTCCCGTGAACAGCCTTACAATTTTCTACCTATTACCTACACCTCCTCTCTCTCTCTCTCAACTAACCCCATCAGTAAGTCATTCTCAAAAATCAATAATTTCTTTACTACAACAAAACCCACTTCAATAAATACAAAAACAAATTAACCCATCAATCCACACAAGTTAAAAATATTTCACTGTTGAAGTTTTAAATTTTAATCATTTCCCATCTTGAATTATTCCTGCACTTACTCCATTCTCCTGTCAATTTCTTCCCTGCCAACTCTGTAACGCCGGTTAAGATTGAAAACAAAGTTTCCTACCTCTGCAATGGATGTATGTAGATGTTCATGTACTTTCTAAACAAACCTCTCTGTCGTTTCATATTCACAAACATGAATTAAACCACAAATTTCAAATTTTTCTTCTTTTAAAAAAATTTAGTTACTAGCAATCAATGCCAACTGGTGAATTGGTTCTCCAGTACTTTGTTGACTATATGCAGACAAGTGAAAAAAAAAAAAAAAGAGAGTCCTTTGCATGTCGCCATTTACGAAAATGGTGCTATCCTCCACTGTTGATTCTTGCATGGTACATACCGAGCAGGGTAAAATGGTAATTGAAAAGATTGGCATCTAGCTAGCCTTGGTTTTGAAAGAGCCAAAATTAAATCTAATAAACAAAATTTATGTTTGCTTTTTTCTTTTTGTGAATATAAATACACGTATATGTGTATCTGCAGTAATGAAGAGGGAAGATCTACAGTGATGTCAAGAATCTGAAATGCAGGTAGTGAAGGAAATTCTCAAAAGATACGTAGGTTTGACAAAGGGTGAGAAGGTGTTACTTGTCTAAATCTAAAATGACAAACTCATGATATCTCTAGGTTGGATTTGATAATTTAGGGAAAACCATATCACAGAATTGTTGGTTTGTGTGATTAGCTTTTTATACTCTCCCCCCCCCCCCCCTCTCTCTCTCTCTCTCTCTATATATATATATATAAAAATGTGTATGTTATTTTCTTCTAGTGAATCTTTGTGACATGATTGTTAACATATAAACTGCATGATTAAAAAACCAAATCATATTTATATGTCCAGCTGAAGGTACTGAATTGGTTATTAGAATATCCAAGAAATTAACTAAAAGTTAGCAAATTGAAATTTCAATTACATACATATTGACGAATGATTATCATTCACATAATTAATACAATAAGAAGAGGTAGTTTCTTCTTCTATTTTTAAAGAAGAAAAAAAAAGAAAAAGAAAAAGCAAGCAAACAAAAACACATGTAATTAATAATAAGCTGTTTGAATCAGCCATGCATTAATGCTCTTCTTGGAAACAAATTCGTTGCTTTTGCTTTTGGTTGTGTTGATTGAAGGGAAGGTTGGGACCATGAACAACTGGCTCCATGCGCATTATATATATGTATATGTATATAATATTTGATGGGCTTTGCATGCATGCTGAAACCTAGGAACTTAATTGCACCCTGCTGCCTTCCCATACTTCTCCTGTGTTTTTGGGAGGGATCAATTAATGTTGCTATTTTGTCTTTCTTGCTCGGCGTTAGAGAACAATTTATCTGCCACCCAGTTGCCATTTTCACTTAGTTAACAATTTTTGCTTATTAACATAAGGGCACTAATTCAACTAACAAGTACTGAAATATTCCTTAATTTTGAGATGTATAACAACAGTGTTTTTATTTTCTTTTTTATTGTTTGATAATCATTTGAAGTGTTGTGTGTGTATATAATGTATGTATAGTCTAACATTACTTGTATAAGGTAAGTTATATATATATATATATGCTGATATTTTTATGTGTCTCTATTTTAGAGAAAAAAAAGATAGTGGGGGAAAGAAAGGCAGGGCAGAGCAGTGTAGGGCATGCTTAACCTGAAATCTGAGTAGTTCAAATAAAATGTCTTTTCTATTAACTCACAATAGATCCAAGGTGGGTTCGAAATTTTTGTCATTTGTAAATGGATTGGGCTTAAGTTTTATGAAATCCGCTTCGAATTCGATCCATTACGATCCCTAGTCAACATAAAAATGACTATTTTGAAGTGCCACTCAAATTACAAAGTTGTGATTGAAAATTCCTGCCCCACCTCACTAAGAATCTTTCCCAATCTCCTTTCAAATGAGTGCCATGATGAAAGCAACATCTGTTTTGTCTTCATATTCAAGAAGTTAACGCCATCCTCAACTGGAATGAGTTAGGGAGTTAAAAATCATGAGGGCTGACACTAGAGATGAGTTTATGAGCAAGATAAGAGAATGGAGTGTCCTTATACTCAATTTTCATCCACAATGTTCGCCCACCATTTTATCAGCATCACTTAGGCCTTTCTTAAGCTATTACGGCTATGTGGAGGATTGTTATATCTCAAAGAAGAATAGAAACTTAAAAAAAAAAAAAAAAAAACCTTTTAGTTTTGTGAGATATAGGTCTATCTTTGAAGTATGTAGATCCGCAAGAAGAGCACATGAGATTGTAATGCCTAATTTCAATTTAATGTAAATTAAATTAATTTATGCAATTTTTTAATTTTTTAAATTTTAATTTAGTATAAAAATGAAGGAAATTTGATGAAATATGAAATTGAAAACGATTTTGGAGAAAATGGATGAAATTTTAGGTTATTTTTGAAAGAAAAATCGAAAAACGGAGATCAAAATGTAATTTAGAAAACTTGTGCCACATAGGATACCCGATCAGTGGTCCTGGTGAATCAGAACGCGTTGTGTGGCAACAAACGCTGATGCGGTGCATGTGGGAGGTCATGCGGGCGATCCACATGCCCGCGATCGAACGACCTAGATTCGTTCCAGTGCGCATGGACGGCTTGGATGCGTTCTCTCCCCAAATACGATCGGACGGTCCAGATTAGATCGTGATCAAAGGTCCAGATTAGATCGCGATGAACGGTCCAAATTCACTCCCTATTTAATCGTGATCGGACGATCCAAATCAAATGCAATGGACAGCTCAGATTAAATGAGGATGGATATAAATAACTATATTCACACCAAACTCTAATCCTAGCCGCCAGATACCCTCGCCGGAGAAGAAAACCTAGTCGTCGAGAAGGAGAGCCGCCGCCCGCCATTGCCGCGCCGGAGCGACTTTCGACTGTAAAAAAATATAAAAATTTCTCCCTTTGCTTATAATTCAATTTTAAACACCCCCATGGCCAAATCGAAGTAAAAAGACCAGTTGATTGGCTGAAAATCACGAGTAAAGCTCGGCGGCGCCGCTGCAGGAAATTTCATAAAACGCCTCTGATGAGACCCTTCTCGATTCCCGTTCGGCATAATTTTTCCACTATTGTGATCACCATTTCCTTATCTACAGGTTGACAGGAGCAAAACACTCAACTGCAACATGAGCCGGAGGAGCCACCGCACCGGAGAGCCCCGCCGCCGGTGAGTTTCGATTTTGGGTTTTTAAAGATATTTTTAAATACTTATAGCGTGCTTTAATTCTCGAAGAAAAATTCAGGGAATCCAGGGACCGTCAGTAGGCATAGTCAATAAGTTTCGATTTTTAGGCATCGAATTGAGTAAAAATCCCTCCCCTTATTCCCTGTTATGGAATTGAAGTTTAATTAATAATAATACGGTATTTGGTATAAATTAAAAAATACTCGTAATTAATTACATGTTACAAATGGAGCCGAAACTGGTTACTTATTGCTATTTACTATATTTAACTAGTTACTTGATTTTACAGTTTGAATGCATAATAATATCTAATTTTTCAATTTTATGGTTTGAATGCATATATTACTGCCTTACGTGACTACTGTTAAGTTAGGAAACCAGGATATGATTGCATTCCATGATGCATGTTTGTTTGTTTATGTGATTACGGTTGAATTAGAAAATGGAGACTAAGAAAAAATGAGAAATTGTGTGATTAAGTGAATGGATGAAATGACAGTCCTACTAGATATCTTGAGAGAGAGTGGACGGATGAGGTACAATAGAGAACCCTACCGTGAACGTTGTCTCATACCGGATGAGGTATCGAGACTTGATAATTTGGCGTTCATATCAGACGAGGTATGGGGATGGCCCGTTTTACCCTTATGCCAGACGAGGTATTGAAGTTTAATAGTTTGATGCTCATACCGAATAAGGTATGAGGACGACCCTTTAATTGAGAATATTAAAGGAAATGGTTCACGCGTAGCGGAGACATCCCTATGAACCCCTATGGATACTAGCAGACTGATGAAAAGGGACAGTTGTTGTTTGATTTATTGAATATGAATTTATAATGTGTGTATGTTACCGATTGCATATGAAATCATAATAAGTGCTATGTTATTGTCCCTATAGCTTGTTTTTATAAATTTCGCTGCGGTAAGTGGACAGTAAATGATTTTATTATTAATAAATGCATTTATTTAATTAAGTGCTCCACTAGTTGTTTTGATTTTCTACCAACTTTTATTTCTGTGTCGGTGAGTAGTGTGATATTCTTACTAAGATAGTGTAGCTCATTTCATATTTAATCATTTCAGAACAAGAGGACCAAGATCCATAGCTCAATTCACAAGAGGGTTGCAAGTAGGATACCAGTTTTATTTATTTTT